AATGTTCAGATATCTTGATATATTAATAACGATTGCTCCTATGGCATATTATTCAAAAACTAAGCCCTGGGCATGCGTACATGTTTAATTCAGTCATAGATATTATTCCGTTGCTTATAAGTAAACGATGATTTCCGAGTGACATACAATAGTATTCGTCACAGGAACAAAAGTTAAGATTTGAATGTGACCAAGACTGTTAGATCGCATTGTCGCTAAGGGTTAACTGCCTTGATCATGGAAGCTGATCAATTTTTTAGCCATTTAAAAAATGCCCAAATGGTTATATCCTCAAAAATCAAAATTTGTCAGACTCCGATTGTTGATGAATGAAGTTTTTTTGGTAAGTCTTATCATACAATATTAAAATAAGCCCCAAATATTGTCTGTTGTATTTTTTTTCTGGGAATGAACCACTCTAGTAGTAGTGGTAGTAAATCTACGCAATAATACTAGATGTGTGACTATTATTTACCCATGTGAATATCCAGCTGGAACTGGGATGGGCTTTTTTTTTATCATGGCCTACATTATCACTATTGGTTCGAGACAGTATAATACTCACAATCCACTATTACTAGAATCGAGTATTTTTCTATGTCTAACCCTGTTTTCTTTTAGAAAAAAGTCATTTTATGCAAATATGTCAACTTAAATTAAATTATTGCGAATTCTAATTACCATGAGGAATATTTTAAAAGACAGTGTCTGATCACGCATCACTCATCATGCAATAAAATGAAATGAAATCGGGTTTTAACATCCTGCAACTCATCATGTGAAACATGTTAGACACGGTGTTTTGATTAAAATTTGTCCGCTGTACACGTGCATCTCATCTCATAATAAAGAAAATCTGGTCAGGGCCATTTAGCTTTCGAGGAAGTCATATTTACTACGAGCTAAATGTGGTCTGCATCCAATGTCAAGGGAAAAAAATGGTAGTCTCCCTTGTGCCATGGATCGTCACTGTCGTATTAAGAATTTGAGCTATTAGGTTATGCTAGATCATAGTTATTTAAGATGGAATTGTTATGAGTGTGGTCATAGAGACAACCTATCACCAAAACCTGGTCCCACAATGAATATTACATATATTATATGCATACCCGTTTTAACTACAGAACCTTTGCTGTCATCACTAACTATTGATCTTAGCTGTAGAACAAAAGCCATTGCATAACAGTTTGGTGCGGGGGTTCCTTGGGAAAGATGGTATTACTTCGACGAGGTTATTTAGGTGTGGGTGTGGCTCATCGTAACATAATGAGAGATAAATATACTCTTTAATCTTAGGCCAACATTCCTTTCAAAATTTACTGGAGTAAGTTATTCAAATACCCAAATGATTGGAAAGCAAGTTTTTCAGAAAACAAAATATCACTTCACATAATTTGTGTTATACCATTAAATAGCTCGGGGCCTTTAAGTTAGTATTCAAAAGAAATAAATGGCCCAAGAAGAATCTCCATGGTGAGTCCCGAATATCGAGACATCTGAGCTTGGGACCATTCAAAGGTATAGATATAAAGTAAATGAGAGAGAGAGAAATAGGGTTTAACGTCCACTCGACACAAACTAGGTCATTTCGGGACTAACATGGTTTAATTTTATTTACATAATTTGCGCGTAGGGGTCTTTAGCAGTGGGAGGATAAAGTAAATAGAATCAAAGAGCGTTTCGCCACGGTCACGCTACGGCTGTTGTGTTCTAGACCTTTGACATTTTTCGGTCTTCTTGAGATACAGAGTTTGTTCATGAGCTTCCCAGATTTGAGCCATGGTTCTCAATACGAAACTACCCCAGTAGCGAACAATTCCATTTGGTTAGTTGAATTAAGATGTACCAAGGTTGCGAAACAACACTGACCACATTAGCTGACCCACAGTACTTTGTGGACCAGCGGCATTGGAACTATGGTCTTTTTCCAGATGTATTAGTATGCATGAGTGATGACATAATCTCTCATGTGCCGCGACTGGTCCATGGACAATAATTAAGGTCGTTGGTATAATCTTTCACATGAAAATAATCAGAGGGCACTATGTTGCCTAGTTGACCGTGAGTTCTCTTGCGTAGAACTTAATGTGGAGAATGCAGTCGATTCGTGTGCGAGTCATGGGCTAGGGATGCGACACAAAATTCTATATTATAGAAAACCTTACGATCAGATATTGGACACAGTAAATCAGATTGGGAGAATGGTGTCCTGCCTTTCGATATACCTGTCAGTGCAAAACAATTACATGAATAGTATGGATCTCCATGTATTCTTCAGAAATATGCACCCTGTGTCAAAAAGGCGGGGGTGGAGGTCAAAAGAAATGTTTGAGATCTTCGAATACTTTTTTCAAGAGATGTCACTATTGGTTATTTTCAATAATTTACTGTCCTAGTGGCGCTTGGCATGCTTGTGTTTCAATTAACGTAACAGCAAGACTGTCGTTTTTTAGAATTTAAAGTAGCTAAGTCTCTAACTCAATATCATTCAAAACCTTCGACAATGAAAACGCGAATTAATTGTAAATTTTAATCAATATTGATGTTGTGATCTTACTGGGAAAAAATGGGCTTCTGATATCCAATATTTAAGACAAAATAAACATTTTACGATTGGTACACGAATCGTGTACCATAATGCGTTTCAGCGCAATTTGTAACAAGCTACTCGAAGAACGAGGTTAGACATATTCCATAAGTCATGTCAAACGATGATCCCATATTCTTATCTAGAGCAGAACGGAGGGCCTGACAAGGACAGCTGTCTAGTCTTTCGGATGAGACGAAAAACCGAGGTCCCTTGTATACATTAGAATGCACGTAAAAGATCCCTTGGCAGTTGTAATTCGATATAAGAGTAAGCGATAGTGCCGCTGCCCGGGCAAAATTTCCCTCATAGCACACTGTATGGCGTATGCCCGTCTTCATTAGCCCAGTATAGGAGCAGAACAGTAGGACGTTAAACCCCATTTCATTTTCTTATCTGGAGAGCATGCGCAATAAATACAATCGATGTAGACTGGAATAACCAAACGCTAGAGATTGCCATTCGCTGAACATAACTGCTTTGAAATTAGAGTAAAAACGGAAACGATTGAATGTAAATCAGTTTATTTACATTCATATTACATTATTATATACGTTGCTACCCATTTGTGTTAATTTGTAGGTCCCAAATATTAGCGATTTAGCTCCTTTAATATACATATACAAACGTGCCAGGTGACAGACGGATAGCTGTCCCCCCTAACTGTCAGGCAATCTGATATTTCGGCCAGACGGGCAAAGTGAGAAAAATGTAATAATATATCATCTAGTTTACAAAATAAAGTGCCCATATTCTAATTAAACACTATTTTATTTTATATTTTTAATTGAATACCGTGAATTAGTACTGAATTCACTATGGATTAAAACATTTTGTCTGGATCCGTTCTGCTCTGTGCGACATTTTTCGGGCATCTATTATTTTTTGTGAATGCAGATGCAACAGTCTGATTGAATGATTGGAATTTAGGCCAGCGTAGATTGGGATTTCGATTGCGAATTCAGGCCAGCATAGATTGGGATTTCGATTGCAAAACCACTGGACAGCTTTGGAAACCATTGGAAGCTTTGGAGTTGCTTAACTCGCAGGCTAGAATAGTTGAAAAACACATTTGACGAGGCCATTTTTTTTTTAAATTTTCTCCGGTTTCGACTCCATGGTAGGCAGGATTCGGCTGCTTTGTGAATAGCGCACCATCTACGGGTGCGATATTTAGCATGGTACACAACACTTCGGTAATTTTGAGACAAACATGTCATAGTAACTTTTTTAATTGTATGGTTACATGTCGGTCAAAGAAGATATGGTTAAATGTGAAATTTGAGGTAGGATAATTTCACAGATAGCAGAGTTTCTGTCTACTCTTGATGTACGCCGATGTATACACGGGGTTTTCATGCCATACAAACGTATAAATAATGACCGGGATTGGAACCTCGGCCATTCTCTTCGAGAGTCCACTGGCGTCGTTTATGACAGTGTATCACATAAGCGAGCAGTGATCCCAAAATGTGCAGTGATCACCTAAGTCAGCCATGGTTAGAACAGAGGATGAGCAAATTGTTCAGTAATTATTGTTTCGTATTTTGTACCCTGGTTTGTAATGCTCGAATATAGCACTTAATTATGTCACGTTAGGGCAAAATATAAATTTATGTTTCGAACCGATTTGATACCGGACACTATCTTTCTCACATTTCAGTCCATTCCTGGATCACTAGCATACACTGCTTCCTACATGACAACCGTTACAACACGATTGTCAATTTACCTCTGTTGACTTTGTTTAGTTTAAATATTTTGGGAATTGTATCCCTGCTGTATACAATAATAACTCTCCTGTATGAACATCTGCTTGTATACGTAATTTATTATTTATGTTAAAAGATTATTTTAATTATTCACCAACATATGTTAAAAATAACCATTACACAAGCATGTATTTATTGATTTAAATATTTATATTTGATGTCTATATATAGACTTTACCTGTTATTTCTATTTTCTCCTAATTAATATGATGTTATGGATATGAATAATAAATGGAGCGATGATTTTGGAAAACAAAGACAAATTAATATAGAATATTACATTTTCAGAATCATTGTCTCTTTCGAGTGACTATTACTATTGATATTTACCCATTCATCATCATTTCGATTCATTATATATCGCAAAAAAATCGATCGATGATTATCATTTGATTGGTTGCTTAATCACCAATTACTAAATGTAAATTAGATATTTAAAACACAATACCAACAAGCTATATAAGGTGTTCTAATTCAATGGAACCCAAAAGTACATGAAGCAGACGACAAGAATCCATATAAAGGAGCCTTTCAAATTATCGATCCGGTGCCTTTATGCTTAATACATTGCCATTCGCCACCACGTTTCCATGGAAATGATGTCATCCAGTTTATTATGATAATTATTTCACGAACCGACAAGGAGGCCACTGGAACTGTCAAACGGGAATCAACAAGAATTTCTGGTTCCAAATTACCAGATTAGCCATCGGTTCTCCGATCAGGACTTACGGATATTTCGTTTTATTGTGGATTAGACAAAATATCGAGAAATTAACAAAGAGCACAGAAGCATTGTGAATTGTTTTTAGCTTGGAGTGTAAAATAAGCCGTGAAAATATTCATCAGAAAAATCGATTTTTGACTACAGCGAATAGATAGATCCACCGAACTGTAATTCAACAGGGAGGAATTGCTTCTTGAATCTACTGTCACAGAAACAAAATGGCTAACATAGCGTACGTCTGCTGAACTACAGAGGCAGTTTGTCGTTTTTTTATTATTTATTTTCTTTTGATTTGTTTTGGATTGAAGGATTATCATGGGAACCGTCCTCTCCTTTTCACCAAGACCACGTAAACCATTGTACGAGGACATCAATCTCAACAACTTTAATTACGAAGTCCTGAATAATGTGAAAAACCAAGCCAAGGAGAAGAATTTTAAGCGACACTCGATTTTCCTGAGTGCCCTTAGTTGGAAAAAGTTCACTGTAAATCCCAAAAAGAAGGACAAAAATCAAATCAAAGTTTCCAATTCTGCGTTTTTGGCAAGTAGTAAATTTGATAATAATTATAATTCTGAGAATATCAACTTGAACAAAAATATACAGAAGTCGATATCGTGTTATAATCTGAAAACTGGATCGGAAGAACCCAGTCAAGTGATAAATACCGTCAAAACAGCGAAAAAAACAGAAAAATGCGCAAGTCCCAAAAGAACTGTTATACAAGCATCCACATCGGAGCTGCTGAAATGCCTAGGAGAGTACTTAAAGAAGAAATGTAAGAAAATTCGTCATTTGGAAGGTAGTGATGTCATTTTATGGATGAGAACCGTTGATCGTTCGCTTCTGTTACAGGGCTGGCAAGATATCGCGTTTATTAACCCCGCCAACGTTGTGTTCGTCTATCTGTTGATACGAGATATGGTAAGCGGTGACATTGAGAAAGAGCAGGAACTCCAAGCCACAGTGCTTACGTGTTTATACTTATCTTACTCCTATATGGGCAATGAAATAAGTTATCCTCTGAAACCTTTCTTGGTTGAGGAAGACAAGGACAAGTTCTGGGATCGTACCATTGTTATTGTGAACAAACTGAGCTCCTCCATGCTCCGAATAAACAGAGACCCAAGTTTCTTCGCCGAGATCTTTACCGAATTGAAGTCGTATTCCCCGTGTGTATAAATACAGATTAAAGATACGTTATTTTGTACACGTGTATTATAACTTAAATTTGGAGTATTAATATTAATACTCCATATATTGTGTGTAAGATAGATATATATATAAATTATTTCAATCTCCGAAAACAATGAATTAATTTAATTGACCTTTATTAAGAATTTTTAACAAAATATTTATTAGCAGTTTTAATTTATAAATTTTTAATTGTATAAGGTCGAGACCAAACTCTTATTCGGTTCTGTACTTATGTTTGATTTATCCAGGTCATGTGAAGATGTGTTTGAATGCTTGATAGCTTGTCTGTTGATTGTTTGACTGATCTGAACCTTTAACGAACTTGAAGTATATTTAATATTGAATGCGCATGAATAATCAAATATTTATGAATCAAAATTAATCAAATTAACAGCTTGGTTAACTGTATAGCTATAAGCTTATTTAGAAATCTAGATATTTTCGAATAACTTAACGTGAACACGTATAAGAATCGATTTTTGAAAAGAAAAAACATTTATAACGGCGATAAATGTTTAATGTTGTTTATGAAATATTGGTTTTGATTACAATTAATTAGTAATCAAATATTAATGAATCAAAATTAATCAAATTAATAGCTTGGTTAACTGTATAATTATAAGCTTATTTAGAAATCTAGATATTTTCGAATAATTTAACAGTGGCGAACACACATAAAAATCGATTTTTGAAAACAAAAACGAAAAAAAAAACATTTATTAACGGCAGTAAATGTTTGATGTTGTTTCTGTAATATTTTGATTAAAATTAATGTTCAGGAATTCAAGTATTATGACACATCATAGAAAAAAATATCCCAAACTCTCCAACAGAATTCCAGATTCATTGATTTTAAGTGCAGAGCTGTATGAAAATGCAAGGTTAACAAACAAAACATTAAGCAAAAGATATTATTTATAAAGGAGTTATCTGTTATTATCAGTCCCAGCTAAATGTGATTTAGATTAAAGAATGCGTTGTGCTTTGATTATTTATGATGGAGATTAGAATTGGGCTAAAGAATGGCCGTTATCAATTCTCTTCCCTTGATGATTTCTGCTAATATATAACGAGGTGAATATCGATTTTTATCGCCATTTTACCAACACGCTCCCCGGTAAATCGATTTCTTTATCGGTCGACAGACTCCAGTGTAAATTATTCCACTGTAATTGAAGGAATCGTGCCAAACCCACTCTGTCGTGTATAAGAATGCAGATGCCCAATTCCAATTTTGATTAACGGTTATAATTTGATGTGTCTCGCCGCATGCATATTGGCGTTTGTTTTCGGTCGTTATATTATATCAACTCATCATAGTCCAGAGTTGGCTAAATATTTACTGCGTGGCTCAAATATCGACCCAGCGCCATCAGAGATTGGTATAAATAACGGTTAATTACGGTTAACAAACTGCAGATGTTTTTCGGGGTGTTTTTTTATTATTTAATCAAACTGATGACTACTTATATAAACCTACGTCTTTCCTTATACGTTATCTATTTCTGATGTCCATCACAGGGGTGTGATGAGAGATAAAATGCATTCGTTCTTGCTTTTAATGTTTTCGATAAAATCTTAAAATCTCTCCTGTCCTTTGTTTTTCTTTGTGGTGCATAATAACAAATATTATAATAACATAACTACTATTTTATTTTCATTCTGTTTATATTTCATGTTAGCGAATATATAATCTGTCCATTTTGAGAAATTATTTTGTTCTAATATAAGAAAGAAAACATGAATCAAATTTGGACCCGTTATATGAAAAATTGTAATCATTATGTACAGTAACGATTGTACGTAATGTAAACTTGTGTCGCGCCCCTGTGAAGGAGAGTGTGCTAACGACCTAGTTATGTAGTCATTATTAAATTTATTTATAAAGAGATAATCTTTTTTTTTTCTATCTTTAAGACACTGAAATATATAAAGACGACAGAATCATATTATAGTTCATTGTTATTATTATTGAATATTACTGTAAATAACTGTAAATATTAATAAGCCATTGTATATAAATATTATGTATGACTGTCATTAAGGTATATTAAGTTTTATTGATATCATTCATCTCACTGTTTATATTTTCATACGGCGCTTCCACCGAGTATTAGAAAATTTGCTACAATTATACCCAACCGTACTTAAATGGAGCTTTCGTGCTTTCGAGTAATAATTTTGTTATATTGTCGTTATTAGGTCCACTTTTTGGGTAATGGTATAAATCTTTTAAAATAGGTCATGGGGGGCGGGGAGTAGGGGGTGGGGAGTGGATTTGTTGCTAGAAGCATACGGTTTAATATTCTAAATTTGCACTACAATACTTTCGGCCTCAGAGACAACTAAATATGATAGCAGAGGAAAGGACTAAAATGAAATACTAATTTTTTTTTTTAGCTACAACAAAAGATAACTATTGTTCACATTGAATGAAGATTATTAGGTCCATGGGTTGGACTGTAGGTCTGCACCCATTATAAATTTTATCAATTGATATTTTAAAGTTATCAATTCACATTTTAAATTTATAAATCTTTGTTGAAAATTTTACACACTCTTCGCTCATATTATTGAATAAGCGCTACGCTTCCTAATATTCTTCTTGGGGGGTCACGTTCTCCGAAAAAGGCCTAAGGCTCTGCCAATTTAATTACGGTCGACATGAAACTTGACATGTTTGTTCCTTGGATAATTGCGCATGGATTGGCGGACTCTGATTTTTGAAATGATGCCAAAATTCTAAGATGTTGTCGATGACATCATGGTCGGTCCCTCGTTTGTTATAGTACTTTTTTTCTGTTTTGGATGATTGGTGAATAAAGTGAGATAAGGATAAATGCAATTTAATTTTTATCTGCCGTAAAAATCCCATTACAGTAATTGAAATATGAAATCGTGGTAATTTTTTTAATTTACTGGTTTAGTCTCACCTGTATGCATATCACACTGGTTGTCTCTGAACTTTCGATATTAAAATATACAGATTAATTAAATTGGTAGATTAATCCAATTCGTGATTAAAATGTCACGGTTTAAATTTTAAGATAGAGAATTGTTTATCACAATTTTTGATGGTATGAAAATTTGACCTGAAACGTGTTTAGACTATTACAATTAATATTCCTAATACCTCGCTCAAACTATAGTCAGTTTTCAATTTCATTATTAGAATTATAAACGAGATATCGTATTATACATGTATATAAAAATGGTGGGATGGGGGTATTTAAAAGACTTCTTTGTTATCTTTTTTTATATTCATTGATTTCAAAATGGCGTTTAATGAAAGTATTTCTGTTATTATTATTTATTGTAAATGTTTTATATGAATCCCATGCTTGTACGAATTGTTGATCATTGATGAAATAAATCAATGTTTGCTATAATAAAATACATAGTTGGCTTTAATTCCACGTGGATTACCATCAAAAGAAGAATAAAGTATGAAGGTAACAGTTTCTAAAAATTAGAAATTATAATATGCACCGTGTCACTAGTATTTACCGGATTCAGATGAGAGAGATAGAAATGGGGTTTAATATTTCAATAATTCGCTTGCGCGTGAGGGTCTTTAGCAGTGGGAGGAAACCGGAGGACCCGGTAAAGCCCATAAGGTTGGACAGGCCACCCCAATCCTTATCACGTTCAAGCGGGGAATGTATACCACGCCACACAATGACATACCTTGTGATTTCACGCGCACGCGTTAAACCACTTAGCCCCCCCCCCCCCACCTTCCAGGAATACTATAACGTGCTAATTATTAGGAATGATTATATTGTATACGATTATTTATCGTTGCATTTGCAAACAGAAATAATCCGTAAATTCCTGGTAATTCCACCATTTACCCTGTAAAATAGAATGGAATAAAACATTGTATCCCTAAATTTCACGAAAATTTCCTGTTTAATACTGAATATTCCACAGAAATACATACAACACGGAGCCATATAAGACGAAACGAAATTTAGGTAAGCCGGGGGCGGGATTGATATCTTTGAAAGGTTGAGAATCTTCAGTCATTTATTGCTTTGCATGGGCCAATTGCAATAATTTACAATCAAATATTTTCAAAAACCCTAATTTTGTTTCACCTGCTTACCTAAATTTCGTTTCGTCTTATATGGCCGAGTTACGTAAATTTGTGAATTACCTTGTATTTAGATTACAATGGCGTCTGCCAGACCGTTTAGCAGAAGGGTACGTACTTATAACAGCATGTTGTGTTACACATACTGACGCTAGCGAGGTAAGCAAGGTCTTATTTTCTCACTAAAATGTTCCTTTGCATTGTTCAGACGTTCATAGAGACTGACACACGAACGTTTAGCAGTAAAATGTTGCCCAGTAAAATTGACTGGGGCCGATTTTAGTTTCGACAAGGATTCAATAGGACGGTCCCTGAACGTACAGGGCGAGTGTAATGAGACCTACGTTCAGAGCTGAACTAATAACACCCATTCGATTTGCGAGCTATTTCATTCCTAAAGGCCGTTTCGGGTTGGAGGGGGGGGGGGCAGAATGTAACAAATATTAAATTCGATAGACTAAATTGTAGAACTCGTTCTCAAATGTCTGTTTTGTACGGAAAAGAACTGGAATGATTCCGCAAAATGATTCCACGCTTCGATAATTGCAGAAGTCAATTTTTGTGATTTTAGATCATGAAGAGTTTTGAATTGATAGATGATGATTGCGAATAATCGACTCGGAGTTCCGATTACAACTCTTGATTGGCAGATATAAGTTGACATGATCAATGGCGAGTTTATTATTGAGTAGGGTAGACCAAAAGAAGACAGTAGAATCGTTTCTTTTGATCCCTGAATATAATATTCTGGTCACGTCGGTATATTCCGCTTCCCATGGGCATTTCGTTTCTCCATTTACAAAAACGAGTGCGGAAATTGTTGACGGATATCAGCGTCTCCTGGTGACTACGTCGTTAATTGTAATATCTACTGATAGTCAGCTCAAGTAGAATCGGATAGAGTGGGACATTAGGACTAACCAATTTCTCATATTGAAGTGTTATAAATCTAGAAAGCGGAATAAAAAATATTGTGATTACCGCCTTCTTCATATGTGATAATTCAAAAAAGTTTACTATTTTCGATGTACCAAATGAACCGTTTATTCCATTTTGCGTCCGTCTTTATTAGCCCAGTTCGGAACAGAACAGTAGGACGTTAAACCCCATTTCATTTCATTTCCATTTTGCGTGGGAACATGATTTTATACGTCATCAGCATTGCCCGAGATGTAACGGAGAATGGAAACCCCCGCCACTTGACTTAATGATACACCTTATGATCTAAAGTGTATGTGTTAAACCATTTGGCCACCCAAACCCCGTTGTATCCGAGGCAGGTGGAGTAGGGTATTTAATTTGAAATTATTATGTCGTCTTAGCTCTACTCATCCTAACATTGTTTATATCTATATAAAAATAGGGTTGGGCCAATATGCAACATTTTCGAAAACTGAAAATCGCCCAGGTGTTTCTATGGCGAAATTGACCGAATAACACGAATCCGGAAGAATTTTGCCCGAAAAAGTGCTCTTTAGATTGGTGCAGGGCCATTTTTCACAATGGCGCCAATTTCGATATTCTTTGCATACACTGTACATAATCACTTTTAATATCCACTGTAGGGTGTCTTTTATAGGGTTTTGGGGGTCAGAGAATTCATATCTGCAATAATTCATCTCAGAAAATCCAATATGGCGGAAATCTAATATGGCGTCCAAAATCAACAATTCTCACCTTAGCGGCGCGAAAACACCCCCGTTATCCACTGTATGGCGTCTGTTCCGCGATTTTCGGGCTCAGCATATTCAAGTTCCGATATGAAACCACTTCGGAAAAATCCAAGACGGCGGCCAAAATAGGGCCCGAAACTCCTTTTTACGAACGCGCAGAGCGTAATCGCATGGTCGATGTATGATGTCCCTAATAGGGTTTTTGGAGTCGGCGAGTCCAAATCTGCAATTATTGGATATGTCTGATGATCCAATATGCCAGAAATTCAGAATGACGGGAGGAATCCCACGGAACACAAGCAAAATCACCCGTCGAGATAAATGAAATTTCCAGTAATCTAAAAAGAAGTATTTTCTAGGAAGTACTGAGAAGAGCATTCTGTTTGAATCATCATATATCTCGAACCTGATTCATTTTTATTACGATTTTCGATCAATCCAATAATATATCATTTATAATTAAGTACTAATTATTATATCATATTATTATGATTCATATCCAGTACAGTTCAGTCAGTTAACATCATATTTTTTCGTTACAACGCAGATGTTCAGAGTATGCCAGATCATATGTCTTTTTTTCTAACCTTACATTACTGATAATCTGGGGACCCTGAATCGTCACCCGAATTACCATGAGAATGTTTATATCTGTACGTGCAATGGTCCATTATTGCTGCAAATGAATTAAAACCCCATTCAAACAAGCTTCCCACATAGTGCCATCTTAAACAGTTCATCGACAGCATCGCTAACATCACTGTCTGGTTTTATAACACCGAGTGGCGTTCACGGTGGCCGGAAAGTCTCTTTCGAGTTTCTTCGCCTCTTGTACATCAGGTCCTTTCCTCGACTTCTTCCAAATTGCCCTCCTCTCATCATCGCTCTTCTCAACGAAACTTGAGTCCACTAAGAAACGATTGGTCGCTACCACTGACTTCATTGAATGTATCCGAATCGTTGTCATACCAGCTGTTCGAATCTGATTGCTCAATTGTGCAAACCTCGACTCCCATCCAAGGTTTGTCAACGGTGTGTACGCAAGCATAAGGAAGATGAGAAAAGGAAGAAAATACAGAAAACTCAACAAAGTCTTGCTGAATGCAAAAAACACGGGGGTCCAGTTACTCCGGATGCTGTAATTGTTTTGGACGTCCTAACAGAACGACAACTCTTGTCTGAAGTTTGTTATCTCAGGCACACTATTGCACCTGATATCAGACAGAAGAGAGGAGCTAGAGTCGATGGCAAGCTCAGATTCCAAAAGTTTACAACATCAGAACTAAAAAGAGCAATACTCGGTGTTATAAATCCAGACAGTGATGTTAGCAATGCTGTCAATGAACTGCACGTACAGATATGAACATTTTCATGTTATTCGGCCTACTCTGAACATCTGCGTTGTAACGAAAAAATATGATATTAACTGACTGAACTGTACTGGATATGAATCATAATAATATGATATAATAATTAGTACTTAATTATAAATGATATATTATTGGATTGATCGAAAATCGTAATAAAAATGAATCAGGTTCGAGATATATAATGATTCAAACAGAATGCTTTTCTCAGTACTTCCTAGAAAATACTCCTTTTTAGATTACTGGAGATTTCATTTATCTCGACGGGTGATTTTGCTTGTGTTCCGTGGGATTCCTCCCGTCATTCTGAATTTCTGGCATATTGGATCATCAGACATGTCCAATAATTGCAGATTCGGACTCGCCAACTCCAAAAACCCTATTAGGGACACCATACATCGACCACGGCATGCGATTACGCTCTGCGCGTTCGGAATATAGGAGTTTCGGGCACTATTTTGGTCGCCATCTTGGATTTCCGCCATATTGGATTTTTCCGAAGTGGTTTCATATCGAAAATTGAATTTGCTGACCCCGAAAATCGGAGAAAAGACGCCATACAGTGGATAGCGGGGGTGTTTTCGCGCCGCTAAGGTGAGAATTTTGTTGATTTTGGACGCCACATTGGATTTCCGCCATATTGGATTTTCTGAGATGAATTATTATTGCAGATATGAATTCTCTAACCCCAAAAACCATATAAAAGACACCCTAAAGTGGATATTAGAAGTGATTATGTACAGTATATGCAAAGAATATCGATTTTGACGTCATTTTGGCCGCCATTTTGAAAAATGGCCCTGCACCCATCTAAAGAGCACTTTTTCGGGCAAAATTCTTCCGGATTCGTGTTATTCGGTCAATTTCGCCATAGAAACACCCGGGCGATTTTCATTTTTCTAAAATGTTGCATATTGGCCCAATCCTAATAAAAAAAGCAAGTTTGTACGTGTGTATTTGGAGCTACGGTGGCTAAGGGAGGAAGACTTTGGCTCGCTAGCCTGGCGGTCGCGAGTTCGCTCCCGTTGTTGGCCGAGAAAGTTCCTCTGGATTTTCCGGGGTGGTTTCCCGTCGCCAGTGGTGCAGGACGGAGGGCCTAACAAGGACAGCTGTCTAGTCGTTGGGGTGGGAGGAAAAATCAAGGTCCAGTGTACACATTGTCGTGCACGTAAATGATCTCTTGGCCCGTGGTGTCGGGAGACAGGTGTGACACTCGTCCAGGTGTCCGGAGCCCTGTGGGGCTCAGAAGT